ATATATATATTTATATTTATATAAAAAGACTAATAATAGTATGTTATACATCGATAGCAGCAACAGCTTTTCCAGGTTCTGCAGTCATCTGAACAAAATTATAGACATTCAACACATTCCATTAAAAACAAAACAAAACAAAACAAAACAAAAAACAAAGACAAGAATAATATCCAGAAAACAGCAAAGTTCTGTTGCTGTTGTGGTACCTGGGACCATTTATTTTATTAGCATCTTAATCATCATCTGGAAAGAGAACATTCTAGAGTAATATCATTAAATGTAGCTCTGATAAAGCACAGTCCCTACTATGTATCCTAAAGCAGGTACAAGATATTTTATATTCATAGAGGTATGATACAATACCATCCTACATCAATAATACTAGAATCAGTTTTGGTTTGAAATTTACTTTGTCTGCAAATAAGATTGCTACCCCTGTTTTTTTCTGGGCTCCTGTCACATGGAGAATTGTTTTCTACCTTTTCACTTTCAGTCTATGGGCTTCTTTTTGCACTCAATGTGTTTCTTGTGTACAACATATTGTTGGATTTTGCTTCTTATTCCATTTTGCCAGTCTATCTCTCTTGATTGGTGAGTTGAGGCCATTGACCTTGGTGGTTATAACTGATATGTACTGACTTATTATTGACATGTTATTGGCCTTTTGTTGACTCTTTTTACTTTTTCACCTCCTTTTAATTTCTTGCCTTGCCTATTTGATTAGCTCTGTTGGGCCTCATGGTGTTGTTGCCTTCATTGTCTTTTTCTAGGATCTTGTTTAGAATTTCTTGTACTGCTGGTTTGGTATTCGTGTAGTTTCTCAGGTGTTCTTTGTCATGGAAGTGTCTTATTTCCCCATCCATTTTGAAAGAGAGTTTTGCTGGATACATCAGTCTAGGTTGGAGGTTGTTCTCTTTTAGTACTTGAAATATCTCATTCCAGGCTCTCCTTGCCCCAAGGGTTTGTGTTGAAAAGTCTGCTGTGATTCTGATGGGCTTTCCTTTGTATGTGATTTGTTTCTTTTCTCTTACTGCTTGTAGTATTTTGTTCTTCTGTTGGGTTTCTGGGATCTTGATTATTATATGTCTAGGTGTA